AAAACTAGGAGGTGGTTCACAGTAGATGTCTTGATTTGGAAGTAACTAGGCTCTAAAGCACTCTCCAGGAGTTTGTGGGTGGGCACAAACACACGGTCAAGTTTCATCCGTAAAACAGAACTATTTTAGCAGGGTGAGAGTGAGGACAGTTACCAGCTCCACAGACTCTTACAGTATGTATGCTAATGTGAAACAGCTGAAGAGCATAACTAACTCCATTGTATTATCCATGCTTACATGTAGGCCTGAATAATTTTAAAACACTGAAAAGATAACGTAGGAACAAGTATGCAGCTGTTGAGACTAATTCTGTGGAAAAGGGGAGCATGGCATGCATACGAGCTATATTTTGTTAAAGACTACAAAAACCAAAAAAACATTATGGCCTGACCAAGGACAAAGAAGCTGCCCAATCTCCTAAGATCCTCATTAGCACCCAGATGTGTTTGGCTGTCAGTCACCTCTTGAGATGGGTATTTATTTATTCATTCATTCAACATGTATTGAGCATTTGCTATATGCAAGGACCTATACTTTGCTAGGGAGTCAAAGACTGACGACAGGGTACCGTCTCCAAAGACATAGGCAAGTGAGAAAAGATGATCAGAAGTGGGCAAGTAAGTTAAGGTGAGGGTTCAGAAAAGTGTTATTGACTGTGGGATCAGGGTGGGGATTTATCCTGACTCAGCCTGATTTTTACAAGAAAAATGGGAATTGGTCAGAAAGAGAAGGAAAAGCCAGATGTTGTTAGCAAAGGAGAGAATACGGCAAAGATTCAGAGATGTTCAAGCAGGAGCAGCTCCAAGCATGGTTGAGGAGAGAATAGCTTTCGTTGGCTCCTCCCAAGACCTGCATCAGTGCTGTCCAAGCCATGCCTAAGAAACATATAATCTAAGAAAAAACTCTGTAAGTGGTTTCAAATCAACTCACTCACCCTCAATTCCAATCTGATTATTGGCCCTAAATAGGACTGGAGGGGCCACTCTGGGAAGGATTCTAGCATGCTGTTAGTTTGGTATGGAAGGAGAAGAGAGAGTAATGAAGTTTATGCCACTCTGAGCATCCCCATCACTCCTGGACTTGGTTTCTCCAGTGTTTCTTCCTCTCTTGCCTGAAGCTGTTGGTGTACATAAAGTTAAAATTGATATTATAGACACGGTTTATGCTGGATAAGGAAGCAAATATTCACTTTGGGTTCTCCCTGGCCACATCCACCCTGAGAAATTTGAGTTTGCTGATATCAAGGATCATGTCTACTGTGTCTACTTCTGTCTCTCCACCACCCACTGGAGTGCCCACATGTACCAGATACACGGTCATTATTTTTTTTTAATGAATGAATTCATGGATAAATGAACAAATGTAAATATAGTGAATAAATGCTGTTTTATTTATGATTACAGAAAGAATGAATGTTTTGTTCAGTGTTACCAACTGAAAATAAATTTAGGTTTGAACAGTAGTTCAAGTACGTCAAGAGCAATTGCTCATTACTGTATTATAGATGTGTTTCAATTCCTAGAGATATAAGCATATGTGTTATCAAAGCATAATTACACCTGACATTAAGTGGGTTCTCTGCAGATTCCACTTCCTGACAACAGAAAAGTGAAAGTTCCATAACACAGCAAGAGTGATCCACCTTTTCATTTCTGAGGGCTACTCCTCTCAGCTCAAGAATGACATTTGCTTGAAAGATGAAACCAGCCTTGTTCCAAATAAATGACATCTGGACAGCTCCTCAAGGATGAACATTTTATTAGAATATAGTCACCTGACAGAGTAAATACGTGGTTACAAAGTGTTTTAAGCTTATTTGCTCTATATAGTGACCAGAAAAATCAATCCACAGTGTCAATTTGTGTGTGTGTGTGTGTGTGTGTGTGTGTGTGTTGAAGTTACAGGTTTTAGAAGGCACACCCACAAACCCATCCGTTTATGATAAAGTAACAAGGCACATGTTGCCAACTTTTTCACCGAGTTTAAGTCAGCAATATCCTTCCCTTCCTCACATTAAAGTTGCTATGCAGCACATATCACTTAGTGCTTGTTATAATGAATTAAAATCACTATTGTCTGGGAGAATTGTGAAACTCTTGAAAAAGCACTAACTCCTATGTAGAGGATTACAAAGCGAGAATTGAGAATCTCTATCAGGTCAGAAAGCTTTTGTACAAATTGAAATCTTAATCTTGCAGTCTCCAAAATACTTTTTATTTGAAAAGAAAGTTTACTCTGCATAATGCAAGGTACTACTGTCTCTGTTCCAAGCTACAAAGGGAAAAATAACAAGCCAATTTTTTTTTCAAGGAAAATATTCTGTCTTTGTGAAAGGTCAATAGTAACATAGCTAGTTTAAAGTCATGGAGTTTCTGCCAAATCCATGTCTGGAGGTGTTATGCATTTCTAATGGCTTTGCCCATAGGAGAAATCCCCTGAGCAGCAGGAAAGCAAGACAAACTCATAATTTGAAGTTATTCCATTCAGCATGTTCAAACAAACACAGAATATTTTAAATGCACTTTTGTTTCCTGTTCCATTTTCAAATGAAACAATCGTCCTGCTGATTCGAGAGAACTTGTCTTTTGTGAAACATATACAGAAAAATTCTCCGACTATTCTGGAGTACAACCTGCCACTTAGTGCCCAGTCCTCTCTGGCCTACAGGATGGATCAAGGGAGGGCACAGATGTTCACCCATCTAACACAGTGAAATGTACTCTTTTAGGGTTGAAAAAAATTTCCTAGCTTTCCAGGGGGTATGAGAAGCCCTGAAATGGGTACAGAGAGGAAGCGGGTACACTCTGGTGTGGGATCAGCCTAGGCTGGCACTCCACACCAACCACGACTCTCCGGGAGAGAAAGCAGAGCAGTCATGGGGCTGGGCACTGCTCTTCTGGTGTCCTGCCTCACTGGATACCGCATCTGGCCATCTGCCCTCTGGACTTTGGAATTTATTGAAGACTCAACAGGGGCAGAAAGCCCAATTAAAAACACTTCCCGGCCTCACGGCAAGTCCCAAACAGTCCCAGCACAACAGTGTGGCCTGACAACTCCTGAGTGGCCCGACCTGTGCTAGTTCCTATGCCAGGTTCTTGGGATAGTCAAGTGACTCCAGGAGGCAGGAAGACATTATTCAAGGCTGTGGGTTTCCAGCAGGAAACACAAGCAATGAATAAACCCTGGTTTCTGTCCTTGAAGAGAGGAGCCTCTGGGAGAGGCAGGAAGTTAACACAATTTCAACACATCGTGCAAAATGCCCGGGTATGGATAAGCACGGGGTAAAGTGGGGACCAAAGGAAAAGCAGCCGCAACCTTCTTTAGCTATGATGGGATTCCTCAAAGACATGGGGATCTAAATACTCCGAGAAAAGGTGTAACAATTTAGTATGAGGATGTATGAACACTGATTAGTATTCATCCTTTGTGACCTAGAAATCCAAGAAATTCTTCATGAGAGGGATGGAGGGTGGGCAGCGTTAGTTCCTGGTTAAATCGTTGAACTGTGGGACAAATTCTCTAAAGAATTGATAATAAACTTACTTGATGGTGATGATCCAAACAAGCTCTTAGGACAAGATGTTGGGATCCAATATTAAAATCTGGGGAAAAAAACTTCAAGAAGGTAGTACCTGGGACTGAAGTTTTTAGGAGATAATCTGATATTTTTCTGAAGGACAATAGAACAACTCTTTAATCTTTTGCAAGTAAGTCCACTCCACCTTTAACATCGATGTTTATAGGTCAGGATCCATTTAGAAGATGTATTTATGTCTATTTCCATTAAAATGTAAATTCCAGAAGAAAGGAACAGAGTTGTTTTCACCACGGTATTCCCAGTGCTTGGTACATAACAAGGGACTCAATTAACTTTCTGAATGACCAAACAAAACATTCCCACTTTGGGGAATATCTTTAGAACTTGAGGGTATGTACTTTGGCTTTTGCATGTATTCACTTATTTATTTATTCATTTTATTTCCTCCTGGGAATGAACCAGGACTGCTTGAATGGAAAGAGAAAAAGTTGTCACGGTTTGAAAATTGGCATATATTTTTCTTCTAGATTAACTTCCCTTGGCCCTTTTCATTTATATTAGAGCAAGCACTTTATCTCTTCTCTTTTTTATTACTAAACTAGCACAGTGCATGGTATGCAGTAGCTGTTCAAATAATGTTTGTTTAATTGGTAGGTTCCAAGCTTGATCATTTAGCGAAGCCCTTTGCACAGTCTAAGGCTAATTTGGAATGCTTTCAGGCTTAAGCATGTCAATACAATTTTCTTGCTCCATCTGAATTTCCTGAAAATGTGATTAGTTAATAAGAATCAACAAGATTAATTAATAAGAAATTTATAGCAGAATGAAGAACAGGTCCAGACAGTGCCACAAGCCACGCCTTCCTCCCTCTCTCTATCTCTGCTTTACCTCTGGAGATCTGTCAGGCACGATTGGCTGACACACAGCAATGGTGACTGTTCCTGACCCACCCTTCCTTGCAGCCTGGCTGTGGACAAATGCTGAGTCCTCAAGAGATGGTGAAGTTGGTATAAAAGACGGTGAAGCTAGAGTTATGGTATACATTTGCATTCTCACACAAAATTTTAAAAGCCTTAAAGTGCATTTGAAGATTGCACCACTGGAATGTGCACAGTAAACTGAAAACCGTGCTCCTACTGTTTTCTCAGTCTCCACTGCAGAAGCGCTCCCTCTCTCCCTCCCTCTGCCACCCTCAGCTCCCTTTCATTCCAAGCACCAAGGCACCATTGCCTTTGTAATTCCTATTAAAATACTAAAGCAATAATTCAGGGTAGAATGATCCAATTCCACAAAGTTTTGCTCATACCCCTGTGCACTTCCTCTAGTTTTATTATTCAGACTAAGGAAGTACTTAATAAAATCTTTTTTTGGTAACAACTCACAAGCAACCCCTATGTGTACCCATAACTATAACCTTTTGATTGCTTTGATTCCAAGAAAGACTTTTGCCAGATTGTCCCTTTCATTCCTCTGAGGGCTGCTCTGAGGAACTCTCCTGACAACCTTCTCCCCCCTCCACATCATCTTTATGTGAAACCGGAGCATTCTCGACCACCCACTGACACTCATGAACAAGGGCAGCCTTAACCTCCTCTGTGTTCACGGCCTGGGCTGGGCTACTTTTCTCTCCCACCGCTTCTTGCTCCTCAGAAATCTGGCTCCCCCTGGGGCAGAGGGGGTCAGAACCCAAAACGGAGCCCCCTTGTTGTATGGCCTCACTCTCCACAGTGCACTCGGCCTCCCCCACTTCATGGGCAGCCAGTGTGGAGGCCCTACCTGTGAGCTCCCTCTCAGTGGCTTCCTCACCCTCCAGGGGCTCCTCTGTGGGGCCTGGGCAGTCGGCACCCTCGGGGAGCCCGCCACAGGATGGCTGAGACTCCTCCCCAGGGCTGCTTGCCTCTGGTAATCCCCCTAGCTCCACCCCACAGGCCTCGGCCTCCAGAGGGGGAGGATGGACCTCCCTCTCACTGACTTCATTTTTTTCACAGCTGTCCAGATGGGAGGCAGTGCCCTCCTTGGCCTCTGTATAGATGTGGGTTCCCTCGTCTTCTTTTTCATTTTCTTGGAGGACAAGGGTTTCCTCCTTCATATCTTTTTCAATCACTAGAGCAGAGTCCACTGGCACTTCAACGGACACTGTCAACAACTTTCTGAGCTCCATCAAGGAGCCTGAGGCAGAAGTGGATTCTGACTTGTCATGGGTGCCTTCTTCGTCCTCAGGGGTCTCTCCACACTCCAGCTCTGATGAGTGTGTGCCCAGGAGTCTTGCCGTGTCCTCTGCAGCTGCAGAATTCACAACGGAGTCATCGACTCTTGAAATAATCACCTGTTCAACCACACCTATGGGCAGGCTGGGCCCAGGGAGAGAAAGGTTTTCTCCTTTGATCAACAAACTAGGGACCCCAGGCTGCTTCTTTTCCTCTGACTCTTGGAATACTTCCTCACTTGGGGTCTCACTACCCAGCACTCCAGGCAGAATGGCAGAGACTCTCCTGGCAGGGCTGGCCTGGTTGGACCCTGAGGGGGTTTTTAGATCAGTTAAGCTGGATACGCTTTCACTGGGCAAGGCCATGTTGTCTTCGAATAAGTTGTGTTTCTTCAGGATAGCAGCTTCCTTTATCACTGAGAGATACCAGAAAACAAAACATGACATTAATACCCGGCCCTGGCCTGCCTGGATTTTCTGATTTTATTGAGCATCTAAAGTCCCTCTCAGCCTCTCTGGCTACTCAGATTTCTCAGTTTCAAGGTCCAGCTATATCCACCATCTTCCAGGGAGCCTTCCCTGATGACCTAAGACTATAAAGACTTTCCAAACTCTGAACCTCTGTAACATTCACTCATTTACATATTCATTCATTCATTCAAACAGCAAGCATTTTCTGGGCATCTACTTGGGGACAGGCACAGGGAATCCAGAGACAAACTACAGCCTTTGCTTTCAAGGTGCTCATGGTCTGCAATACCATTATCTGTATCACTCAAGGAGGCCTCATCAAACTTTGTTATCTATTTATTATTTCTTTATGCTAATATATGTGGCTCCAGTTTGTCCAACTTGAGTAAAGCTCCTCTAGGGCAGGAGTAGACCCTACACATCTCTGTTTTATCCCATAGTACAGCCCTGAATGTATAAGAGATACTCAGTACTGAGCATGCAGATGAGAGGACCTTGTTGACTGAAAGTGTCCAGAATGAAATCTATGTGCATCAGCTTAGTCTTAAAGGCCTTGAAAAGGAGCAAAAACAACAGTAGCAGCTGTCACTTTTGACCACAGACCTCTGCTTAGGGCTGTGCCAGGGTTGTAGTGCCCAAGAGTGCCACATCCCAGGAATACCATTCATGTTGAAGACAGCATAGATTTGTGCATTCAGCACACTTTTTAAGCAGCTAGTGGCAGAGTTTCCTTTTCTCACAAAATCAGTATTTTGCAACAATTCTCTGACAGCAATAAAGTATCTGGAGGAAAGGAGTCTTTTTCTAAATCACCCAAAGGTGCCCATGGTGGTTTAGAAGTGGCCTTGCCTGAGCTCTTCCTTTGTATAGACACCATGCTGACATCTTTATAGTCCTTGTCTCATTGGATCCCCTGAGCTTAGCCACTGTGACCTGCAGCTTGTGCTTGGCCAGTTTGCTCAAAGGAGTGGTTTTTGTGATCCTCAAGACTTTCCCAATGGAGACCAGATATGACTCAAGCCCACATTTTGGTGGTGGCCCTCTACAGCATATTTTTATCAAAGTTTTCCTGTCGACACTCCAATCCCAGTCAAAGCCTGATTCAGAGTCCTGACAAGGCTTGCGCGGCACTGTGCCCTTTTCTGTCTGGCTGAGTGGAGGTGAGGAACGTGCTGAGAGAGCAGTCCAGCAGCCCTGCTGCTGGAATTACCTCCTCCTGGCTTTGGGAGGGGTTGTGAGCCTGAGCCTAGGAAGAGCCCTTTTCCCTTTGTTCTGTCTGGAACTGCAAGAGGAAGCCAGCTCTTCATGAGAGTGCTGGGCTTAATCTTACTATGCCTCAATTTTCTCATCTGTAAAAGTGAAGCTTAAAAATTCCACCTCACAGAGTTCATATTTATTTTTGTGTTTTAGTTTTTGAGTCGAGGTCTCACTCTGTCCCCCAGGCTAAAGTACAGTGACATAATATTGAAGATCACAGCTCATGGTAGCCTCAACCTCCTGGGCTCAGGTGATCCTTTCATCTTAGCATCTCGAGTAGCTGGGACTACAGGCACGCACCACCATGCCTGGCTAATTTCAAAAATTTTTTTGTAGAGACGAGGTCTCACTATGGTGCCCAGGCTGGTCTCAAACTCCTGGGCTCAAGCAATTCGCACACCTTAGCCTCCCAAAGTGCTGGGATTACAGGCATGAGCCGCTGAGCCTGGCCCACCGAGTTAATGTTTGTATTCAAGAGATAAGCAGCCAGGCTCGGCGGCTCAGCCTGTAATCCCGTGCTTTGGGAGGCTGAGGTGAGTGGATTGCCTGAGCCTGCAGGTTCGAGACCCGCTGGGCAACTTGGCGAAACCTCATCTCTACAGTAAATCAAAAATTAGCCGGGCGTGGTAGCGCGCGCCTGTAGTTCCAGCTACTCAGAAGGCTGAGGCGGAAGGATCGCTGGAGTCCAGCAGGTCAAGGCTGCGGTGGCCGGGAGAGGCCACTGCACTCCAGTCTGGGTGACGGAGTGAGACTCCAACTCAAAAAAAAAAAAAAAAAAGAGATAAGCATATCTAAAGGGCCGGTGTAGTGTGTGCTAAACCAGGAACACTCAACCAGGGTTAGTTTTCTTCCTTCTTTCCTTCCCTCTCTTCACCGTCTCCCCACTTCACCCACGTTCATTTCCCCTTCTGCTTCCCTCTCCTACCTTACTGGCCCTACCGAGTCCCGTTTCAGGGGTACTTCCTTCTGTAGAGAGTCCCTCCAGTACCAGGTAGCCTTACTTACCTTTCAGAGTTTCATCAAGGAGGATCTGATGCAAAATCTCCTCGTAGACATTTTCAACCTGGATCATGCTGGTATGATCTGCAAAGATGAACTGCTCATATTTCTGAAGTTCCTGGACAGTGAGGGATAAGAAGAGAAAGAGGAAAAGGCATGAGATGCCTGTTCTTAGAGGAGACACAGAAAGGATGATTCCCGCTTTCGTTTTCCTTCTTGGAGTGCAATGTTGGCCCTTAGGTAAAGGATGTTTAAATAACAACTCAGTTCCCAGGTATTTTATTGGGTTCTCTTCAATCCAATTCACTAGGCACCATGTGTGACCCCCACACATCTGCAGTGTGGTTGAAGGTGCATCCCTTCCCTTTCCTATACTGGGCACAGATTCTATGCACTTCATGGGAAGACAGCAGAGATTTTTGATCATCTCAAGACCTCATCAGTAGGTCTAAGGCCTCCTTTCTCCTCATTACCAAAATGTCTCCTTCTTCCTTTTTTTTTTTTAATATCAACAGTACTTAACCAAAGTATGTTACATACTAATGCATAGATTTTAAAAGTACAGCTCAATTATTTTAAATACATAAATATACCTATGTAATAACCATAACCTAGATCAAGATAGAGAACATTTCTATCACCCTCTAAACTTCCCCCATGCCCCTTTCTAGCCTACATCCTTCAAGATACAAGCACCGACCTCATATATCATGATTATTTTCTTCTTGTTTTTGAACTTTGTATAAATGAAATCATATATTCTTTTGTGTTTGCTTGAGATTCATTCATCTGCCGCATGTACCAACAGCTTATTCCTTTTTAACTGATAAATAGTATTCGTTACATGGATAAATTAAAATTGTCTATCCATACTCCTGACGGAAATTGAGATTTTTCTACTTTCTGACCATGATTAATATAACAGCTATGAATATTCTTGAACATATTTTCTGTGGATTTGAGTTTGCATCTTGGAGATATACCTAAAAGTGAGATTGCTGGGTCATGGGGTACAGGTATGTTTAGTTTCATTAGAATGGGGCCCCTTTCAGGTTGGGAGAATCTCTGGCCAAGGACTCTGCAGGAGCATTCTCCTCTCTCCCTCCAACTGGCCCTGATGTTCATTGATTCCAAGACAGCCCAGGCATGGTGCAAAATTCCTTAACCCTCCCTGCTTTCCAAGGGCTTCTAAATGGCTTGCCTGTTATTAGCACGAGGACAGGGAAGGGATCAAAATGTGCCAAATCATATCCCAGTGGTTAATTCAGTAATCCTTGCACCTGATGGTGCCGGGAGAGAGCTTTCCAAATGCAGCTCTTAGAGAATCAGGGACTTAGCAGTTAGACTGGAAGTTCTTTGCCTGGAAGAACAGGGTTTGCTGCAGTTGATCAGATGCTACCACATTCAGACACCTCTCAGTGCTAGGACTTGGGGACACTGTAGCCCAGGACCAGGTCACAGCAGGCAATAGTGAGGTGCCTTTATACCCACTCCAGAAGAAAGTCAAAGGATTGAAGAGACATGAGCTTCAATGACCCCTAGAGAGTCAATGAAACAGGGCTGAGAACAGATATGGAAAGAGCACTATCCAGGAAACTGGGCCCTGCCCTGGACTAGCTGTGGGACCCTGTGAAAGCCACATCACCACTCTGCTCCCCTGTCTCTTCCTCTGCTAAATGAGGCACACAGGCTCATGCCTGGAATACCCTTTCATCTTCCCCATGTGGTCTCCCACTCCTCATTCCTCTGATTGTCACTCACCCCTCAGAACCTGGTGCAAGTGTCTCTGGGAAGTTGTCCCTGACCCCATAAGTAGAGTTTGATCCTTTCCCCAGAACACTTGTCCTTACATAAGGCTACAGCGTTGTTCCTCACACGGCATCCTGTTGGCCTGTCTCCTACCTCTACACTGTGAATCTCAGGACAGCAGAGACGTTGGCCTGGCACAATGCCTAGGTCATGTTGGATACATATTTAACATATCTTTGCTGAATAAATAAACAGAAACGTTTACAATGTCAACCAACTAAATCTGTGGAAAAGAGTAAATCCTAGGGGTGTTTATACTGTTGTGATGTGCCCAACTTTAGGCAACAGGTCTATTTGGAATTGATTGAATTGTGCTGTATGTTTAATTCCCTGAGCCACTTAAATAGACATCGCTGAAGGTGGGTCTTGGGGAGTCAGAATCTTCTTATTAAAGCTTCCCAAGCAATGCTAACATGCAGCTGTGGCTGAGTGCTATGGATCCAGGAAGCTACTACTGAAAGAACCAAGGGAAACACACTTTAGCCTTCTGTGAAGCCCATAATCCCCTAATTTGCTCTATTCTGTAAATTCAGATTTTTAAAAATCTCTTGACACTGATACAATATCCTTCATTGCTGAAGACTCTGCGTCACAGGCTCTTTTGAAACCAGACTCTCTTGATTAAAAAATTACAAGAGCCTCTTACAGATTAGGGATAACTCGTTCTGCGGATGCTTGGGGAACGGGGGAGCAGAAGCGAAGGAGAACTCTCCTTACCCTTCTCCTCATCTGGGAGGAGGTGGCTCTGAGGCCCTCACAACTACCTTTGGGTTTGAAAAAGAAAAATTCCCAACCAGAACATCCGTGTGCAGCCACGTCTAGAGGTGGGCCCCACCATCTCTGGGGCTGCTGAACTGTCCCACCACGTAAGGCCCATCCCTTACTCTCTTGACTTCATCAAATCCCCTTCTATTGCAAGAGTAAATGACAAATAACAGATATGCTGATGACAATCTGTGGAAAAGCAGCACTTCCAGACTATAAAAATGACCAAGGAAATTTCTGCAGTGAAATAACTCATGCAAAGGATTTTAATGTTCCAGTGCTTGGAGACTCTCCAAGCTGCCAAAAAGCCCTTTTCAAATTCTAAAAACCTATTTATCATTTGCTCCAAGAGGGAGCAGGCCTTGCATTGTCCAGGGTCATCAATCAGTTGTAAAATGTAGAAGTGGTAGCAATAACAATAGTCATAGTAACTGATACCATTCACTTAGTGCCCAAGGGTGAACTGGGTTCAAACCCTGGTGGTTACCAGCTCTGTGACATTGGGCCAGTTACTTAACCACTCATATTTCCTCATGTGTACAAAAAGGATGTAAGTAGTACCTCCTCATGGGATTGTTTTCATTTCTCTGGGCTACAGAATAAGTCACACCTTCAAAATCATGGCTCTCACTGGATACCTAATGTTTGCAGAAGCTTTAAATGGTTTCATTGATTTCATTAAGCAAACATGACGGTATTTAACAGAACAAATATCCTTTTATAATCATGTGACTTAAGATCTTTTCTGGATAGAGTAGTCAAGTTTTACAGGACAAGGTGGACCTCTGAGTTATTCTATAATGAGGAATGCTTAATGTCCTTAGGTGTTCTATGTCAACCCTTGGTTTGGCTCATTTTCAGATCACTGCCCTTTGAGATTTTGTCTATTCTAAGGGTTGGCAACTTTGGCTAGCTTCTGTTTTTGTAAATAAAATCTGTTTGTTTATATATCATTTATGGTTTTTTGTTTGTTTGTTTGTTTGGCCCTACAAAAACCCTACGCAGCAGGGTTGAATAGCTGCAACAGAAATAGCGTGACCTGTGAAGCTTAAAATATTTACTTTCTGACCCTTTACCAACAAATGTGCCAATCCCTCCCTGGTCTAGTCTACGGTTTGCAAGTACACTATGGCAAAAGGACTTGTTTGAACTGCAGAGGCAATAAGAGCAAGCTCTTTGGAGTAAGCCATCCCCTTACTGGTTTGCACGTGGATGCCAGTGCCTTCTGCACAGTGGGAAGTGTGATTTGAACCAGTGCCTCTTGAAATATCTTCTTCCGGATGGTGCTGCTGTCATAATCATATTGCTGTCAATACAGAAACATATGTTAAATAGCAACATTACAATCTGTTAACTTACACTTAAACAAAAAACTCAGCCACCCACTTCATCTCCCTTTCCCCCTAATTTCTGAGGACTTTTGTATTTCCAAGGTCTCAGAGATCTTTCTATGTAATTCTATCACCCTCCAGGCATAAATGATGACTGATAATGACCCATCTCACCCTCATTATCTCATTTTCCATCACCTTACAGATATGGAAAATGAGATAAAATCAAAACAGAGTCGTGACTTCTGCATTATAAAAAAGTTGGGGGCCAGGTGTGTTGGCTCATGCCTGTAATCCCAGCACTTTGGGAGGCTGAGGCAGGAGGATCACTTAAGCCTAGGAGTTAAAGAACAGCCTGGGCAACATAATGAGACCTCATCTCCACAAAAAACTAAAAATTAGCCAAATGTGGTGGCGTGCACCTGTAGTTCCAGTTATTCAGAAGGCTGAGGTGGAAGTATCTCCTGGGCCCAAGAGGTCAAGTCTGCAGTGAGCCATGATCATGCCACTGCACTCCAGTCTAGGCGACTGAGTGAGACTCTGACTTGAAAAAAAAGAAAAACGTTCAGGATAAACTAGGCGGTGAATTGGTACTTCATCACCTCTGTCCTGTATAGGTCCATGGAAGCCATGACCATCTATTACTCTAAGTTCTGAAAGCTGAGTCAGTGGGTTTGCAATGATTTCCACAAGAGAAGAGAGGGCCTGGCTCATAGCTCCATTAACACTGTGACATGTTAACCACAAAAGTTCAGTACTCCAAACAAGAAAGATGATGATTCTGTCTGTACTGCATTGAGCATCCAAACATGGAGACAAGGGTTTAACTTTGGACATCACTTCAAGGACATGTGTGCAAGCTCCTATTATTACAGTCATTTTGATATGTATTTATGCTTAAGTATATTTAAAACAATTTCACATGGTAGATTTTTTTTTTCATAGTATTTCCTTTGCCACAAGGTTTTGATTTTTCTTAAAAATATTGACCAACTTAATGCATTTTACTATCCTGTAAACTCTTTGAAGAAAGAGGCTGTGCCTTGCCTATCTTATATCCCACACAATACCCACAAGGCTTATAAGGGACAGCCAATAAATGTCAAGTTCAAAAGCTATGTAACTAAGCTGGAGAGCATCACTCTTAGCTGTAGGTAATGATGCCGGGGACACAGAGTGGCCACTAGATGGCAGAGCAGGCATGAAAGTCATGCTGGAGGAACTGCGACTGACTGTCACTGGAATTTCGTGAGAAAGCAGAGGGGGAAAAGATTAGAGTGAAGGAGAAACCATGGCATTTTTCACTCCACCAAAGAAGCAGGGGTCATGCTCTCGCTTTATGCTTCTCACAGACGAGAGAACAGTCTTACCTTTAAGACTCGGAGCTTGACCTTCTCAATGGCAATTGCAGTTTTGGAGGCCTCTCCTTGGATATGTGGGGAAAGCAACTGCTCAAAAGTGAACACTGCATTTTCCATCAGCTGGAGACGAAAGCAACACAAAGACAGACCACAGTCAGAGGCTGGGAGCACTGCCCTCAGGGCTGTCTACCTCAGCGTGGAGAGAAGGGAGGGTGTGAGCCACCAGAGGTGAGTCCCCTCAGGCACTATTCTCGGGTAACCCAAGGGAGCACCATCCCACTACCTGGACTGTGAAGCCTGTAGCCACGTGGCCACAGTGGCATCAGTAAGAGGCTGGGAAACACACACATGTATGTATATGAGTATGTATGCCTGTATGTATGTATACACTATGTATGTATATATGTGCGTGTGTAGTTCTTTTTTTCTCATTCCCTCCCTTTCATCTCTGAACTAGAAAATCCAAGACCATGGGACTGAGAATTCATCATCCCCTGTGGCCATTTTGCCTCCTGCATTCTTTGGCACTTGTAGCCACAGATTAGCAAAATGAGGTGGGCGCCTTCTCCAACTAGACTTCAGCTGCACCTTCACTGTTACGTAGACATAAACCACTCTCCAGTACTCCTCTCTCTCCACTTTTCCTCCTATCACCTCACACAGGGTTTGGCGGAGGCCAGGGCAGACATGCTCATGGGTCAGAACGTGAAAGTAGTTCAGACATCTTTTCTCTGCACTTTTGCGGGCATCCGCTTCAGCAGGGTCCAGTATTACCAAAGGGACTTCTGTTAAACTGTTGCCCAACTTTGTTCCTTGTTCCTCTTTAATCCCTCACAGCTCAGGGGTTAGTCATATTGTTTAATTCTGCCTATAACTTTGAAGAAACAAAAATGCATCTTTCTTTCCCAAGCCTGATTCCAAAGCATCTAATACATATCTTGATCATAACTAGAGCACTATGCGTAGTGAATTGATCTAAGAATTTGTCTCACTCAAGCTTCCCCAAGCGGGATCTGGTATAGTGTCCAGCCCACAGTAAGCTCCCCTCAGAACATCTGTGAAATGGAATTGTGTCCTTATAGCTTCAAGGATCACACAGGACACGCGATAATATAGAAAGAGTTTGTGCTATTCACTTCTGTTCCTGGGGAAAAGGTTTTTTGTAGGGAAAGAAAAGAAACTCAGGAAATTCAAGTATGAAACTGTAGTTGATTGATTAATTTACTCTTAATTACATTAGGGGATTAATTTAATTCTCAATTCTGGCTGCGTATTAGAAGCAGTAGGAATGGGGATGGGGAAGTTCTAAGAGTACAATATATACACACAACATATTATGTATATGTTTTGTGAAGATATACACATGTATATATGTGTGTATATATACAGTGTGTGAGCATATATATGTGTGTGTGTGTGTGTGTGTGTGTGTGTGTGAATATATACACATGTATATATGTGTGTGTATATACTGTGTGTGTGTATATATATCTCTCTATATATATCTATATATCTATATATCTATATATCTATATATCTATATACACACACACACACACACACACACACACAATCAGAATCACTGGGGATGGAGCCTAGACATAGTTCTTAAAGTATTCCTAGGCAGGCATAGTGGCTCATACCTAATCCCAGCACTTTGGGAAGCCATGGCAGGAGAATCACTTGAGGCCAATAGTTTGAGATCAGCCTAAGCAACATAGCAAGACCTTGCCTCTACAAAAAAATTTAAAACTTAATGTGGCATTGTGGTGCATTCCTGTAGTCCCAGCTACTTGGGAGGCTAAAGTGGAAGGGTTGCCTGAGCCCAGGAGAGCGAGGCTGTGGTGAGCTGTGATCATGCCACTGCACTCTATCCTGGGTGACAAAGTGAGACGCTGACTCCAAAAAAAAAGTATTTCTAGTATTTCTTAAAAGCTACCCAGGTGATTCTAATGTGTAGTCAAGGCTAAAAGCACGGATTTGACATATTGAATAATTATCAATTGATACAGTTTTACTTCCCTACAATACTTCTTCTCCATGATGTTCATCAACAGAGGAGGAAGATGAAGCCAGCTGGAGGGACAGCCAGGTCCTCCCTCATCATGATGGCTGACAAGATGAGCTACTAGTACCCTGCCTACCAGCCAAAGCTCTCTCTCCACCCACATCCACCAATATGCCCCTGCCACGCCCACCTCTTGCATGTCATTCTGCGTCCTCTGGACCACCAGGTCGACATGGGGGAATTTGAAGCGGCTCTTGAGATCCTGCAGGCGCTCTTGAAGCAGGTTGACTTTCATGTAACAAGGTTCCATCTTCACAGAATCCAATGGAAGATTCTTAAACTGATGTAGATGCTGCATTTTGGTGAAGGAGAAAATCAAACATCTTCAGATTTGGGAGCGATATTACATGCACACTGCATATTACATACATTCAAAACAATTAAATGTACAGTATTAAAGTGCATCACTACTCAGATCCCTATACCTGTGATATCCTCAACTGCCTCATTTTCTTCCTTCAGTGGGTCCCTGGAACTTTATTGCTGGGACAGAGTCCAGCAGAAAAACCAACTGGACTATGGGAAGACCCAGGGGTGCTCTCAGGGGACTCCAGACTTTGGATGCTCTTGATGGACGCTAAGCTCCCTGGGGCTTCCAGGTCTCAAGAACCAGGCGGGGGTCAAATCTTCTTTAACAAGTGATGTCCTCTCAGAAAACTCCAGGGAGGCTGGGATGCTCTCTGGACTCCTGGGTTCTGAGAGGGAAGCCAGAGTTCCTCACAATTCTAGAAGGCTCTGCCAGGGCTCTCAGGGTTTCCCTCTCCTGGCAGTTGCTCCATGGTGCCAGTGAGTGGGGAGTGATTGGGGAGAGGCCTGACCTGGGAGATGCATCCAATTTTAAAAGCTGGGATCCCTCCTGCCCTAGTTTATCTAAGTGATAGCCTAATCAATGAGGCTGTGGGACTAGAGCTCGTCTGGCTAAAGTTCTCGAGTGTTCTCAACATACTCTTGTACTTCGAATGTTGTTGCAGCAGAATGCATTCTACTTTCCAGGCTTATTTTAAAATTATTTTTTAAAGTGAAGATTGAAGGTTTAAGGTAAACAGGAGAATGAGTGGAGAGGAAGAAGATGGAAAGAAAGGTGCTGATAATGGAGGCTCTAGGGAGAACTGGGAGTAAGGCAGGGTGTGTGATAACAGGATGCACTGTTGGACGTTCAGCTCACGTCTAGATCTAGATCTCTAGATTTCTCTAAACTGGGATTTTTTTAAGGATGTTTTCTTTTCTTTTTTAATATAATTTTTATTTTAAAGATGTGGGATACAATTCAGGGTTAGGTATACAAATGTTCATTATGCAGGTACCCTTTAAACTGGAATTTTTAAGGAGCCCATTCTCATTGTGCTGTAAAGGGAAAATATTGTTCCCTTTGAAGTGAGTTATAGAGCGGTCCCTGGAAGTGGAATTAATGTTCAAAAGCACGCTGCCAAAACTGACCCTCCTCACGTAGTCTGAAATGTGTGTATTAAAAAATATATATAAGTTATATATATATATACATATACACATTATATATATGTATATAATATAAATTACGCAGACAGGAGAGGAAAAATGGACTGCCACTTTGCTCCTATCAAATTCGTGAAAGTGTAAGCAAGTGAAAACACGTATTGCTGATGGGCATCTGGGGGGAGGGTAAACCCCTACCATACACGATTAGTGGAAGTGTGAAATTTAAATCCTTTTTCTTGGAAATGCAATGAAAACATTTGTTAACAGGAGAAATATACCTTTTCAACCTGGCAATCCTATCCTAGAAATGTATCCCATGGAAATAAATGCATCAGGGTATATGAATATAAATACAAAGTAATTTATTCCAATTCTATTCAAGATGCCAGCAATACTGGGACGATTGAATAAATCATGGTGTACCCATTCATGAAATATAATGCAGCCATTGCAAAGAATGATTTAGAGCTAAAGCAGTTACCTAGGAAACAATTTCATGAGGTGTTTTTGAATGAGAAAATTGATAAGTAGAGTAGTATATAAAATATAATCCCATTTTTCTTAAAGCAAACAATCCAAAATACAGCCTATGAGTGTGTGTATTTTATATACTATATATGCACAGGGAAAATACAGAACAGCATATGCTAAATTCTTAACACTAGTTACTTGAGAGTGCGGGGGGTGGCATCAAGGAAGGAGAGAAAGTAAAGACAAGAAACACAAAACAAGCTGGGCTCGGTGGCTCAGCCTGTAATCCCGCGCCTTTGGGAGGCTGAGGTGAGTGGATTGCCTGAGCCCGCGGGTTCGAGACCTGCCTGGGCAGCGAGACCTCATCTCTACAATAAATCAAAAAATCAGCCGGGCGTGTAGCGCGTGCCTGTAATTCCGGCTACTCGGAAGGCTGAGGCGGAAGGATCGCTGGAGCCCAGCAGGTGAGGCTGCGGTGGCCGGGAGCGGTCTGGGCGACTGAGTGAGAATCCAACTCAAAAAAAAAAAAAAGAAGTAGTGCTACTCTGTGGATAGGTTCGCACCGTCCCAAAAATCATTTATGGGGGTGCAATTTAGAAACCACTCTTTCAGGTCTTCCAGTAATACCATAAGCCCCCAATTCTCTATATTAAATTCCTTATTTTTTACAATACAGGACTTTCTGTTTCCTATAATAAAGTTTGGCTGTTAGCTCTTTTAAAATACTTATCAATCAAGCATACATGCTAATAGCAAAACAAAAATATCTTCAGATGTCAACACTACCCATTTTTAGTCAAGCAGACCTGGAGACATAATGAAAGGACCACACAGAGAGGTAAACAAGAATCTCCTATGTGGATAATTCCTTCTGGGCCTCCAGAAAGGAGGGCTCTAAAATGAATGTTTCGATGACAAAGGATTTTGTGAACGAGAATTTGTTGCCACATAAGGAAATTGGTACCCTCATATCCTTGCATTGTTAATTTTTTTCCCATAGTTTTCACTGAATGCTGGGTAGGCAAAGTCTCTTGGGAACTCAATTCAAGAGGTAGGGCGGATATGGGCCAATGTTCTAGTTTAGAGATGCTAAGTGACTTCTGAAGTCTGGTGTAAAAATCCAGTTGCTCACGTTCTACTTCCACTTGTTAATTTTTTTCTGTTTGGTTCCAAATTTTAGTAAATAAGTGAAACTCTGCATATGCACCTACGAAAGGGATCTCATATAGGCAAGTGGTGTGTTTCTATATGCCACAGAAACATGTACAGCCAAAAGACCCACAGGGGATGTAGGTGGCCTGGAAGCCTTGCAATGCATGAAAGAGGTCTTTGCTATGGGGATATACCAGGGGCAAGGTACTTTAAGAAGAAGTCTTTGTAATATTTGAAACCTAAATGCCTTTGAGCAAGTTCTTCAACCTTTTCCTTCAAACATATTTCACTGTGTGATAAATAGTTTCATAGAGAGTAGTTAGTGAATTAATAAAAGGACTAAAATATCTTGTTTGGGGGAGCTGTAAAAACTCACCAAAGTTGCTCTTGTCTTTTTTTTCAAAATTTATTTAAAAAGGAAAATTATATGAACTATATTTGAGGTTCTAGAAATAGCTATCAAGGATTTATTTTAAAGAAGAGCTTGATTTTAAAGAAGAGCTTGATAGTATGAAGAAATGGACATGCAGTACTTATACACTGTTAGTGAAAGCGTAAATTGGCATACAATTTCTGGAGGGCAATCTGGCAATATACAACAAAAATTTAAAATGGGCACTTCGTGATCCAGAAATTCAGTTTGTAGAAATTTATCCTAAGGAAGGAATCAGGCACTACAAGTAGATATATGTCCAAGGATGTTCACTGAGTCTCTATAAAATACATAAAGTGGAAATAACCAAAAGGTTCGTTGGTAGATTGGTTTAATAAAATGTGATAAAGCTTTCCAGTGGATTATTATTCTGAGCCAGGGAATTTATATGTTTTAACATAGAAAAATGTCTACAAAAAGCTGGGTATTGACAAAAGCTAGTTAAGAAGTGTTTTGTATATTTTGAATAATTTGTATATTCTACTACCATTTAGACTTCACTCACGACAGTTGCTTAATAATAGTTAGTAAATTAATTTACGTAAGTCTATTTTTATATATTTACATATGCATTATACATTCTGAAACACTATATGCCTATCTGTTAACAGTGGTTACTTTTATCATCATTGGGTGGGGTTGAAGCCTGAAGGCATAATGAAGATTATTTTTAAAAACTTTTACTTTATACTTTTCCTTCTGCATTATTTGAATTTTAAGGTAAACATGTGCCATTTTATAATTTTTACATTGTATTTCTATCTTGAAACAATATAGTTCTCAAATTTTGTAACACAAATGGTATACAAAACATACTAGAATTCCTACAAATCAAATGGTAAAAGGAAGGTAGCCCAACAGACGAATGCACAAATGGTATGAACAGGCTATCCACAGAGTAGAAACCTGAAAGGGCAAGAAATATATGCCAAGATGTTAAAGTATAATAATGGAGTGCTACTTCTTTGCCATCAGATTGACAATATCACAGGTTTTCAAGAATGTAGGGAAACAGGAATTCTCAGTTACTATGAATTAGCACATGCACTTTGAACAGCACCTGGTAAAATGGCAGCTGTGCATGCTCAATGACCCAACAATTGCTCAAAATGTATACCTTATAGAGAATGTCACTACAGAAAGAGGCGTGCACAAATGTGAAATGCGGCTATTTTAATTTGTTGTGCTGTAAGAGTGCTGCAGTGACTTATTTTTTTAAATGGTCCTCCTAGAAGCCAGTGAGGGAGCAGGGAAACAAGATAGAGAGTGGGGAGAAGCCAAGCAAGGGTTGATTTCAGGACAAGTCCTGGCAACCTCAGCTGATCTAGAAGGGAAGCTCTGGGTTTTCCTTGTTTTGTATTAGTCAGTGATTGGCTAAGGGTCCCCTTGGAGGGTATAAACTCCAAGGCACTTCTAACTCTCTGAAACTGTAGACAAAGAGGCTTTGGAACCCATGGGCGATCTTCGGAGTCTTCATTGTGGGCCATTAGAAACAAAAGCCCACAGAAACCAGGAAGGAGCACACAACTGGGAAAAAAGATCCTACTCCCTGGAGGGAGTACTAGCAGCACATATCATGGATGCAAAAAATACACTGGAAGGGTATTTAACACATTTATGATTTTCATTTAAAAGTAGGAGAGGGATGAGGACCTTATCTATCTATAGTGTTTTATTGATTGGTTGATTGATTGATCAATGAAGTCAATATAGTAAATACAAATAGTAGCCAATTCCTGGTGTTGAAAACATGTATGAAACCAGGATCCTTGTGTGCACCTCACTGG